GTTGAGAAAATCTGGAATTACAGAATATCACCGTAAAGCGAAAGAAAAGTCTTCTCAAGGCATCTAAGATATTAAGTAAGAAATTATTATATAGCCGGTAATTTTTCCTAATTACTTAACTCGTTGCTTCATCCTAAGTCAATCGTTCTACACAGAGTATATGCATTCTGTATACGCATCGAATATGCTGCGAACGATTCAACCAGCTCGTAGCTCTCCCAGATTGCGCACTTCGCTCTCAGACAACATTAGCAGGCTGATTACAATCGTCCGATTAGCCGACACGCTCGTTACCTTACTGCTTTAAGCCGATTGCACGGAGAGCATGGAGTGCGTTCTATCGTTCTCCAATGAGGTGTGCGATCAGGTAACGTATAACATACGCGGGTCAAACGCTGGTTCCGCATCCTCGATCTTGTATATTGTACACACACCTGGCACTGTGTGTACTCTGCTAATTACGATATCCCGATTACATGGCTTATGAATTTACGTCCGGCCTGCGCATGATGGCCGCCGCCGAGTTGCTTCGGGGTAGTGAAAGAGGTATCCCGGGGTTTAACACGTGAACTTCGGTAAAGCGGCGGCCCGACATTTGATAGTCAATGAACAAAGTTCCGCTATCAAAGCGACCGGGATTTCGCATATCCGCAGGGGACTCGTGATTTTCTCCTGATACGCGTCCCAAAGAGAGACAGACCTCGGTAAGTTTTGCCTCCACGCTGTCCACGAGTGACGATGATGAGCCAATCAACCTTCGAAGTCCTGGACCCTCCATCCGCGGTTCGATTAATCTCAACACTTGCTACAGGATCTTCGTTGACCTCGGAAATTAGAATTTTGATGAAACTCGGAACGCGTACGCAACTATACCCGATTGAGATCCCATTCACGATCGAGTAACTCCCTTTGCGAATTCCCGCCGCAATGGGGATTATTGTCAGTTTACGTTAACTTGTTCCGCGGCGTCACGAAAACCATAATTTGCAAATCGATTCGAATATCCCTATTACTTCTATTACTCGCCATTACTATGTCTTTTTCTCTGAATGTAGATACTTCAACAAAATTCTAAAGGATTTGAAACGACTTTTTTATCTTTCTAAAAAAATTTTTAAAAAGCTCTGAAAATTGAAATTTTCTTTTCTGAATTTTCTTAAAGCTCGCGAAATAAAATTTGTGTTCTTAAATTTTAGCTTGAATCTTTTAATGCGACACGTTCATTCCCGTGTAAAAAAATTGCTTGTACGTCGCGCAAAGACCGAATCATACTACCCTTTCTCAAGAATCTCTCTTTAAATGGACTTACAATTGGATGAAACGCATTTTCCAAAAATCGAATAGTCCGAGTCGAAATTTTAGTTCTACTTTGAATCTCTTTCAACCTCAATTAAACCTTATAAACCTGTTTTGATACTTAAATAATCAAATAGCACCTTTTTTAAGTACTTAATCTACAGCTCCTATGTAGAAAACTTTTTTTGAACCTAAAAATAGGAAATTTTCCAATAACTGCCATTTACAGGTTCAATGTAGGAGCTCAATATTCATTAGATTAGAACCTATGATAAATCTCTAAAGTCTACATACGTCCTAATTATACATCTTTAGAGTCTACATACGTCCTAAAACTAAGATTCAACCCGAGTCGAAATTTTAGTCCTACATCGAATCTCTTTCAACCTCAATTAAACCTTATAAAAAAATTGTCCTCCAATACGTGGCTAATAAATAAACAATAAAAAAGCTTATTGTTAATTCTTTTAATTCTATATGCGAATATATTGATGATATTTCACTAACAAGATCTAGCGTGTGGCATATGCTCAACCTTTTTTATTGTTAAACCTTATAAACCTGTTTTGATACTTGAACAATCAAATAGGACCTCTTTTAATATTACTTAATCAACAGCTTCTATTTAGAAAATTTCTTTTGAACCTAAAAGTAGGAAATTTTCCGATAACAGCCATTTACAGGCTCAATATAGGAGTTCAATTTATTAGATTAAAACCTATTATAAATCTCTAGAGCCTACATACGTCCTAATTATAAATCTTTAGAATCTACATACGTCTTAAAACTAAGATTCAAAGTAGGAGCAAAATTTCGACTCGGGATATATAGAATCTACCATAAATCTCTAGAGTCTACATACGTCCTAATTATAAATCTTTAGAGTCTTATACATACATCCTAAAACTAAGGTTCGAAGTAAGAGCAAAATTTCATCTTCTCGACAGCTGTCTATCAGAGATCATCCATTTTCTCAAGTTTCTGACCGATTTTAATTGAACCCTGCGCATTCGCACACATACAATAGATACAAACTCGTGCGTACACACAACGCACACACCTCGGCTCCGTTTCATTCAGAGTTAACGAAGTTTCCCTGGAAACAACGGGCCGTAACGCCGGCATCTATTCGGTCGATCAGTTTTTGCTAAGCTCACACTCGCCTGTGCATCAAGGCCGGATATACACGGTGGCGCGCGGTAACTCATACATTATCCCGGATGGCAGAGGGAACCCCCGGCTTTTTATTGCTCGCGCCATGCCACCGCGCTGGTTTGCTTTCACTTTATCGTCCGTGAAATCCAGCCGTCCGCTCTGCCGGCGAACAATATTTCCAGACTCCAGAATACCTCTGGGAAAGAGTGTATACGTGCAAAATTCAGCGCGACGCCCCGCCCGAGTTGACTCTGTAATCGGACACCGCGAACGTTCCATGGGGGATAAAAAAATACCGCGACACCGACGTTTCTAGCGAAAATTGAGATTTATCCGCGCGCTTTCGATAGTAACAGTACGATAACGCGTGATTCTCAAACGTCTCATCATTATTAAAAAATCATCAGGCAATCTCTTAACTTGGAGAAACTATAATTGAGTTGTCCAGACAAAGAAAAGCGATTCTAAAGGATCTGAGACGGTTTTCTTACTTATTAAAGGACTTTTTAAAAGATTGAAAATTAAATTTTCTTCTTTGCATTCTTCTGAAGCTAGCAAATTAAAATGTTTGTTCTTAAATAGTTTGAATCTTTTAATGCGACGCGATCCCTTTTCATTTCTTAAAGAGGATTTAATTATATAAGGACACAAGATTAAAAATATAGAATTAGAGTCTAGAAAATCAAGATTATCTTAATACTAATTTGGTCTTTTGACCTCTTCTGAAGCTCGCGTGAATTAAAATTTTTATTCTTAAATCTTAGTTTAAATCTTCCAATGCGACGCAATTCTTCTTCAGTTCTTGAGAAAGACTTAATTGTGTAAAAACGCAAGACTAGAATTTTCTGAAAGTCGCGAATTAAAATTCTTGTTCTTAAATCCCAGTTTGAATCTTTCAACACGATTTCTCTAGAGTTCTTATTATAGAAGTATCATGCGATTATTACCGATCGTTTCTATTTTTCAGATTAATATTATATTTCTTATATAAAAGATAGAATTTAAAAAGTTTTTTGATTTTTCATAAATTATATCCTTTACAATGATAAAATATTTGGTTTTTTATCACTTTCCTTATTTTCATAAGAATTTATTTGCTTGGTTTGCCTTAATTTCCCCTACATTCCTAGAAAACCTAATCTAATACAAATCTAATTTGGAACTAAAATCACATTTGGATTAGGTTAATTTATAAATTGTTTATACCGAGAGAAAAGTATTTGTAATAATTGTGACTATATAAAGTACATGTTATTATAATTATGATGATTACTGCTACAACATTAGAAATAGTAACTATATGTATAGTTCTATCAACAAGTATACATATATATGTATATAAAGTTGGCAACCGAAAATGACTATATTTATAGTTATTAGCATAAAAATGGTTGTTATAATTTATAGTTATTTTTTGGAACAACCATTTGTTTTTGATTGTCAACTATTTGTTGATAAGACGTATATTTATTTTTACTGATATTAGTGATATTGTAGTAGTAATAAATCATAATTATAGTAATATGTAATTATAGTTAAAAATACCAAATTTTTCTCTCACTATAGGATGTGGGAGGAAAGGTAAAGTCTCTCCTCGTCCAAACATTTAAATATGCAAATATATAAATAATATGTAAATATAATATTCATGTTAATTGTAAGTAAAGTTTAATTTGTAACACATTTCGTATGATTTATTGCACCTGTTAGTGACTTTTTTTATATCAACGAGTGATGAATCAGAGTTTTTGGTTATTCAGAATGATAACATTAATCACAACATAATGCACCGCTCATGAAAGTTCGTACATTAGTGTAAATTTTATTGTATGTAAAAAATTGGAACATTATAAAACGTAATTATATTACGTTTTATAATGTTGAACATTAAAAAGTAATTATATTATTCTTTTATATATTTTAGGATACTTAGAAATACTAACACTAATTACAAAAGCTTTATAAATTATTTTTAATTTTACATGCCAAAATATTTCGTCTTTATTTTATAGAACATTGATAGTGTAATCGATAAATTCCAAAAATTTGCTTTTGGCATATAAAATTAAAAATTATTTGTAAAGCTTTTGCCAGTCTACCGTTATCTATGGAGATAGGCTGGCAACATACACTTATAGGTATAGTAAACGCCATAAATCAATATCTGTGTTCTCTGAGCGAATTCTTGAAATTTGTTGATTATACTATTAATGTTCTACATTCTACGGAATACATTTTAGCATATAAAGTTAAAAATAATTTAGAAATCTTTTGCAATTGGTGTTTATAGGTATATATAATACCTTAAAATATACTGCACAAAAGAATAGCAAAATTGCTGTTTTATATAATGTCCTAATTTTTTACGTCATCATTTGATAGACTTTATGCGGGTGAATTTCTATGGCAATGTATAACAAGGCCAATATTACTGAAGCTGAATCTTTCATATTTATCTAAGTTAAAACTAAATTCATTTAAATTGTATTTGTTAGTATTTATTAAAATTTCTTTGGCCGTAAATTCTAATACCTTCTGACGTTTCGCAGGGAGCCTGGAAATCAGTCCTCACGCCAACACGGCTCGACGAATCGTCGTTGTGCTCAGCCCCGCTTCCTTGGACAACATCTGGACGGACGCGAGCGTCGGCGCGGTGTTGAAGCAGCTGTCGTCGCTTCCAACCCGGGTGATCGTCGTCACGTTGAAGAGACTGCCGAGTACAACAGCGACAATCGCGAAGCGATCGCGGCGGGATCGTCGCGACGCCGATAATACCTCTTTCGATCGGCTAACGATCCTGTCTTGGCAGGACGGCGGCGGCGGTGGCAGTGGCGGCAATGGTACCACCTTCGGCAGTGGTGGCCGCAAGTTCTGGTACAAACTGAGGCTCGCGATGCCGGCGATGCGGCCGGTGGCGTCCGAGCCCGCCTGCCAATCGGTAGCAATGATAGTGCAGGCCAACGGCAAGTGCGGACAGCAAAAGGCACGTTCGCGCGAGAGTCTGGAAGTCCTCGTCTAAAGGCACCGTCACGAGCTCATCCTCGACCCGAGGTTCCCGTGAGAGCAGTGTCTCGACCGATTTTTACACCAATTCAATTGCCAATCTTCGAATCCCGAGGCGAGGGTCTCGAGGTCCCGTAATCGCGTCCGCGCGATCCTGACCCCGAGGATCCCGCGAGAGAAAGCTTTCGCTTTTGATTTGATATCGACTCGGCGGAAGAATTGCGAGGCGATTTCGACTTCGGCGACTGGACTCGGCGAAGCCTCAAAAGTCTCAGGATCTCCCTTCCGTCTCGAGAATCTTGCGAGAGGAATCTTTCATTCGTGATTTTCGAAGAAGGCCGCGAGGCAACGTCAATTCTGATGGTTCTAATTTCACGCGGAGGCTTCGAGGCCTCTGTTTACTCTTGCGAATCGAGAATCTCGCTACGAGAAGTACGATCGTCGTCTTTGATAAGAGGGAAAAAATCGCGGCTCTTTTTCGAGCGTTTCGCTCGCAAAGTCCGAAACTCAAGATTGGAACATAGAATAATTTTGCTGAAGTATCTAAAAACGACCCCGCACAGAAAAAGTGGCTTCGGTCGAATTGGCTGGAACTGTGATATTTTATAGATTATGAAATGCTGATCAAAGTTTCCTTAGGCAAAATCATAAAAAACGACCAGATTTGTCTGCGGCACCATTTGAAAGTTGCTATTTTGAATCTAATTGGATTGAAAGGTATTTTTATCTACTGTGATGTTGCTGCTCCGGCTTTGATTCAGGACTGTGTTTCAAGATCGACAAATTTATCGGCGCACAGTTAACTTAAATTGAAAATTGTATAAATTTACAAGAAATTATTAGGCAGAACCGCCTCGACCGAATATGGTATTTTTCACTTATGTGTGTTTAATCTCATCGGTCCGTTTTTACTTAATATCTTTATCTTATTATTTATTTTTTAGTCTGTACCTTAATACTTTTATTACTTTATGAATCAATTGATGTAAAGAAAACAGTTGTTTTCAAAAAAATTTGCAACTATGCAAATTACATAATTTTTTTGAAAAGCAACTATGTGTTTTCTTTACATTCATCTCGTTATTCTGTGCATAAAAGTATTAAATTATCAAAAAGTGAATAGTTTAGCAGATAAAGATATTTTTTAGTCCAATTAAACTCAAAATAGAGATTTTTAAATGGTATCACAGTCCGGATCTGTCCATTTTTTATGGTTTTGTCTGAGAAAACACTTAATCAGCTTTTAATAAAATAGTTTTTGTCAATTTAAAGCTATTTTTTCCATATGTTTGTGCAGGATTTTTTTAGTTATAAATACATATCTGAAAATAAATTTATTGGGCTATCAAAATACCTAATTACATAGAAATCTCAAGCAATACCGCAAAAAAGTTTTAGTCAGTATGTTTTTCAGATTTGTATTTTTAATTAAATTTCTAGATACTCCAGCAAAACCGCCTTTTCCTTAAAAGCGCAGTCGGTCTTCTTCGATTTGGGAAAATTCCAATTATAAAACACGAAGGAGGCGCGTCGCGACTTTGTGACGTTATCACGTTGCAATCGATTTTCTCGCGAATCGCGTCGAGATTGGAAAGCAAATTCGATTTAACATCGCGACGTCGCGACACGGGGGAAGAAGCTGTGGCGCGCGGCACCGCAAAATGGAATCAAACAGTCCCGAGATCTTTCTAGATTCTAGATCCTCCCTCCGAAGCTTGATTCTCCGAATTTTCAGCTCAAAATTATTAACTCTTCAATTCGATCGTTGGTTGAAGAAGCTCAATCTTGAATTAGGAAAAAGAATTTTGTTAAAATCGCGAGAATTTCTTTTATCGAAATACGCGATTTTTCGCGACAAGTCTGTTCGACTGCCTCTCGAACATTCTGTAGTTGGCAGACTATATGGAATGCAATTACATAAGGGGGACCGTCTAAACGGGGATTGCAAGATGCAACTGCTTTCAACTGCAGCAACGTGACAGTGCAAATCAGCGGCGCGAAGCGTGAATTGCTGCTCGTGATAAGTTCGCGGCTCGTGATAAGTTCGATGGAAACGTTAAAGGCGTAGGGACCTTTGTACAACTTTTTTTATCGTCAAAGCGGTGAATTTTTAAGATGTAAGAAATGGAAAATATATTCCGGTGACAGAAGCGGTACAGAGGAGACGAACGATCTTTTAGTGCTGATCAGCGAAAATGAGTTCGATTCTTTGTGAACGCAAATGCATTTCTGCGTAACGATTAAAAGTTTTAATTTTATAATATTTGTAATATTTATTTTAAAATAAAAACAATGATTTCCTTTCATTAGTCGATGCATTGAGTGAAAGAATTTTTAAGAATATAAAAAAATGACTGAAAGGATATATAATAGAAGATTTTTTAAATCTTTGTTTATTCGGATTTTTTGTATCTTAAAATCTTGAACTCGAACTTCAAATCTTTAATGCCCGTTTTTATGTAGTTTAATTTTAATCTTGATTCAACTAATTCTTGATCTTTTTCTAGCTTTAAGGATTAGAAAAGGATGAAGAGTAAGTTCCCGAGATTAAAGTTGAGTTACGTTGGTAGAAACGGACATAAGTCTCTTAGAGAGAATTTTATATTCTGTTGAATTCTGAAGTTCTTTGAGTTAGAAATTCTTATATTTTTTGCGCGAGAAATGAGACATTATCAGCACGCCTCCGTGAAGTTATAAATAAATATGTTAAGGTTTTTGAAAATCAAAAAAGACGAGGATCCTTGCACAATCCTAACTTATCTGTTTATTGAATTAACTGTATGAAGAATATGTAGCGATCGGAGAGATTTTAAATTTCTGGATTCTTTAAATCTTACATTTATCTTGAATCTTTGAATTTAGAGATAACTCATTTACAAAATTTAACATTAAGTTAAATAAAAATTAAGTTTTGGGAAAAAAAGTTTAATAAAACTTAAATTTAGATAAATTTTTGAAAACTAAAATTTTGTAATTAATACCATAAAGTTTATCTTCATACGAAATTTCAATTATTTGTTACAAATAATGCAGGTGAGATATAACTGTCTCGCAAAAGGATCCGTTTTAACTTTAGTTTCCTTTAGTAATACTTTATCCTGTTTTTGCATTTTTATTCTTGTTTTCATTTTCTGTTTTCAATAGTCTCTTATTGTAAATTCTTATAGTACTTGATAGAGATACAAATATACATATTTGGCGTAAAATCTAGGGGAAACCGGGGCACCATGGATCACAGAGTATCATGGGTCATCGATTGTTTAACATAATCTATAATATTTAAATTGATACTACTGGTACTATACGACTATCACTTCGTTGCCCATAATTCTTATCTAGATGGCAGTGATTAAATTCCATTGTATCGAAAAGCATCGGTCATTAATAGTTTTTGTGATGCAATAGTAACATTTTAATCCCATAAAAATGTTTTAATATTGTTTTTGTAGTGGAAAATACATGTTTGAAGATAAGGTGCAAGGTTTGCGCATCTTTTCTCATCTTACTATGTTACAAGTAATAACATTTATTTTTATCGTTTTCTATTAAATGTATAATTAAATATATAATTGGGGTACCATGAGTCATGTGCCCGTATTCATAGTCAGGGCTTATATTTAAGGCTTCCTTAAATTTATCTTCAGATACTCTACGAATTATTTCATTGGCTACTGAGCATTTAAAGATAAATTTAAGGAAGCCTTAAGTACAAGGTCCGACTATGAATATGGGCATACATTAAATATTCATGATGAAACGGGACAATACAGAAAGTATATGTACTAAAAGGGCAGTTTATACTTCTATTATCTAGCAATTAATTTTATTTTATCGTAATCAATTTTTTATTTTATATTAATGATTATTTATTATTTGTTTTTTCATAATTTTCTATTGTATTATTTAATAATTATTAGTTGCAATTATATTTTATTGTATCAGTGACTATGCTAAGAATGTGTAAGTTAATTGAAAATACTTTTCAACTTTTGTCACCGTTATTTCTTGCGTAATCCTACTATTTTGTGTGTGACTCATGGTACCCCGGGTATGAGGCACCTTGAGTCATTTCTTAAAAAAATATAAAATGAACATATAAACATTTCCATTATTATACTTGCGCACCGAGTACCGTGCTGACTCCTACTTCCCTTTACATTCTAGTCTTTATATTGTTAAAAAATATTTTTTTTTCTTAAAAACTAATCAATATTTACTAAATATACTTATTAAATTTTAAAGTATGCACTATATACTTTTAAAAAAATGATACAAAAATTTTTATATTTCGATATATTTTTAAGAGTTCAAATTTTTGTGATCCATGGTGCCCCCCCGGTCTCCCCTATATATTTTCGTTATGTAGACTGTTATAGAAAAGTTTCAACAATTAGCGTCGAAATTAATATTTAAAAAACCGAAGAATCTCCGATATTTGTATAAAAGTATGTAAAAGCTATATTATATGTAAAAAATTAAAAACAATTAAAAATCTAAAAATTCCAAATGTCTAGAAGAATCTTAGGATATGATTCTAATAATTTTTCGTATATAAAATTTTTGTGAACTTCTGAACCAGCGAAAGTGCGATATTGCACAATAAACACTAGAATAGATTTAATTAAAGTCCTCGCATTTAATTAAGTGGATGAGGAGACCAAATTAAAAAAAAATATATCGCTATGTACGTATCACGAAAATTTCTTCTGTACAAACAGTTTAAATACTTCCGGCAGGGAACCTATTTGCTTTCCACAATCGACGATCGATTTCGTTATCCCAGCATTCCTACCGTTCCAGAGGACGGTAAAGAGCAGAGAGATGGAATTGCGCAGTCTTCCTTCTCACGGGCGTGATAATAGGCTTCATTACCGGCGTTTCCGTTATCACTGGCGGTCCTTTCCTTTTTTAACGTTCTTATCGCCGCTGTTCTTTGTACATACATTGGAAATTTATATTTATTTAGCTAGTTACGTTATTTATATTATATATGTACGTACCTTTGCGTAAGTTTAGTAAGGCAATCTTTTAACCGGTAAAATAGCTCCTAAAATTCTGAAGGATTTAATTAGAAAAAATTCGAGGATCTAAAAGAATTCAAAACGCGCACGTCGTCTATTTAGTACGTTGACTGCCACAGTAGTTATCCAGTGCCTAATTTTTCAATGGCACCTTGGTTGGTGAAACGAAATTTTTTAAAACGCTTGTAAAAAATAAATATTATTCAAATTAAACTTATGAATGATATTAATTAGATATTAACATAAAAAGTATACAAAATTATACTATGCATTTACAATGAAGTTTTATTTAATCATGTCACACAATGGGTATTTTATTGTATTTTATAAATTTTTAACAATTTTTTGTGTTTCTTTATTATTATTATATTTCTTTATTATTATCATATTTTACATGCTATTGCATGTGATAAAAACTTGCTGGGCAGACGTGCTAAATACCTCAATCAATATTCACCTACAAATCTCAAAATCTAATTATTGAGACATATGCTACACTGTTTCATTTATTTATATATTTTATAATATATAATTTATATCTCGAGAAAGCAAAATACCGGTTAAAGGGTTACGCAATCGCGGAATAGCGTTGATGTCTTTCTGAAATTCGGTCTTGTTCCAGGCGGTAACGGCGATCCTCCGTTAACGCTCGGCACAAGTAGGATACAATCAGCCGTCTCGGTACGTTAATGTAGCGTTTTATACTATTTTATATATATGACGGACACTCCTCGAGACTGTCCCGGACCTCCTCGGGCGCACAATCGTGTCAGTAATCGTTGCTTGTCGCAATTCATCTCCTGGCAGCGAGACGGGGACGACTCGCGGTTTTCCTCCGAATCCTCCGGAAACTTCATGTTTCTCGGATCCTATTTA